TAAGTGAAATTTTGATCTGTTACACGTATACGTGTATATTTCTTGCTTTATTGCATGTCAGATTACATTTGCACCAGTAGCAGTAACTGCCGAAGCACCAGTAGGAACAATAGCAAAAGTAACATCAACTCTCCTCAGTCATTTTTACCAGACAATTTGCTGACGTTGCTGTTGCCAAAGAAGAAGATGACAGTAATAAATGTTGACGAATAATGATAGAAAAATCAGAAAAAAAAAAAGAAAAACTGAAAAAAAGCTGAGATCAAAATATACAGTTAGGGAAGAAATTTGGACCATGAAGTATTTCAGTTTTACGGTCTTCTGCGGTCTAGAAAAACTGCAGAAATGTGAACGAGAAGCAATGAAATACAGTGAGAGACAAAAGAGGAGAAAGACAGGGGAGAGGAAGGGAAAGAAAATAAAGAAGAAGGAGGAACTGTTTAGATAGAAATCTCCAATACAATAAGCATTTTAACAGCTTGTTAAGAAAAAAGCCTCCTTTTCTTCGTTTTCAGTATTAGATAATCAACTTTCCAAAAGAGATGTATTAAGACGGAAATGGTCAACCAGAATACTCCCAACTTTTTTTCTACTTTTTCTCAAACAATTTAAACAATTACGTTACTTTATTAATGATAATTTTTTTAATATCTGTTAGTTTAAAAAATTTCATTGTAGGCTGCAATCGCCTTAGCTTGTTCATACAGCTTGCTACATTTATTATTACAGAATGTGTAAGATAAACGTAGATTAACCAGAGGTTTTTTTTTTTTTGAAACCCAAAGTTATGCAGTCAAAATTTATTGGTTATCCAAATAACTGATAAGTTACTGCTTACAATAACCAGTGAAGAAAAAACGTAAAAAAAATTATAAATTAGCTGTTACTTTACAGCTTTACTCAGATACGTCTTGCTTTTACCGATAAAGAAAGGTACCGACAAAGAACAGGATGCGATTTTGGTTAGCAACCAAAAAATATGCCAGGAACGGATTTGACCGAAATAGAGAGGTTTTTTTTAAATTAACATATTTTTCAATAATAGAAAAAGCGTTAATAAAAGAACAAGAATAAAAAGAAAAACTGAAAAGATAAACTAGGAAAATTAGTAAGCTTAAAAAAATGTATAAGTGAATGATTTTTTCCTTTACGACATCTTATTGCAGTCGCTGTTTTCAATGTTTATGTACAATTTTTGAATAGTTTATTAGAATATTCAATATAAATATTTGTTTGTAGAAGAGTAAAACAGTAAGCTGACGAAGGAATAACAGAAGAGAGGATGAGAACAGAATGATGGCCGATATCAGACCAAAACTGAGAAGACTTAATTGATTACGGTTGATTACCAAATAGGCATTCAACAACAAAAATATGATCAAAATATGTAACTGCTGAGTGGAACATAAAGTCATAACCAATAAGGAGAACAATTTTAAAGATCGCTTTTTTTCTTCGATGTTGTAAATCTATTTAAAAAGCGTTGAAACAAAGCAGTTAGTTTTGTTTTCTTTCTTTTTTTTTTGGGTTATAATCATCCGAAATTGTCGCAAAAACAAGAAACAAACAACTGAACGAGGAAGAAGAAAAAAAGATGTTGCTCATTTTAATGGTTTAATTAGCCAAAAAATCATTTTAAACGTACGATTTAACCACAGATACAAAAATATTACGTGCTACCCCCCTTCCCCCCTCTCCCCCTTTCCACACCCCCCCTCCCCCCCTTAACTAAACTGCGGTGTCAATGAACTTCGCTTTTGTTCGGGGGTTCTTGCAAATCAGACAAAAAAAATTTTCTACCAGTTTTTCTTCACAAAAAAATAACATAAACCATCTTGCATATTAAATTTATTTGAAGTTTCTTCTTCATCCTTTGCACCTTCTGTCTTCTGAGAAAAAAAAAAAAAGAAAAACTGTACGAAACATCTATGCATTTTTTCATTTAACGACAACTGTCTGTCAAATAATTGTATAAATATGTTCACCAACACATATATGTAATTTTTTTAGACTTTTATTGGTTATAAACGAAAAAAAAAAAAAAA